GCTTTGCCCAACTCAAGAGTTACTGGCTTCCTTCGACCATTCACGAACTGCGGTATAGACTATTTTGGACCTATGTTTGTTAAAATTGGAAGAAGACGAGAAAAAAGATATGGTGTACTATTTACTTGCTTCGCAACCAGAGCAATTCACCTAGAACTGGCACATTCATTAAATACTAACTCAGCTATATTGGCTCTTAAAAGAATGATCTCAAGGAGGGGTTGCCCAAAAAATATCTACTCTGACAATGCTACCAATTTTAGAGCCACTGATAAAGAAATCAAAAAGTGTTTGGAAAATTTTGATAAAAATAAAATCATAACTGAGTGTACCATGAAAAATATAAAATGGCACTTCCTACCTCCAGGAGCACCAAACTTTGCAGGTTGTTGGGAAAGAATGATAAGAATTGTCAAAAATAGCCTGAAAGTTATTTTAAAAGAAACTGCACCGAAAGAAGAGACACTTCAAACTCTACTCTGCGAAATTGAATTCAGTGTTAATAGTAGACCTCTAACACACGTACCTACAGATCCAGAAGAGAAAGAGTGTTTAACCCCAAATCATTTTTTAATTGGAAAATCTATCGGTTCGCCGGGTCTCGAAATCAAAAACATTGATCTTCGAAAACAATGGCACCTTGGTCAGAAGTTAGCAGACAACTTTTGGAACCGCTGGTTAAAAGAATATCTCCCCCTTTTGAATAGAAGGAATAAATGGTTTGAGGGCTCTGGAAACATAAAAGAAAACGATGTCGTGATAATTGTAGACAGTAATTCACCCAGGAACCACTGGCCCAAAGGAAGGATCGTGAGAACGTACCCTGGACGAGACGGAATAATCAGAGTGGCAGACATTCAAACAGCAACGGGTATTTTAAGAAGACCTGTTAACAAATTATCCAGAATAGCAGTCAACGAAGACAAGAAATAAAACCAACAGACAAAAAGAGGAAAAAAAAAGGAAAAGAAGAAGATGCAAGTGGTGAAAAGATTTTAATTTGTTTAATTTATTTATTTTTATGTTTTCCCTAACTTCGAGGGGAAGAATGTTACAGATATTTTTAACAGACTGTATAATTAAGGGAATTGTCAGGATGATTGATTGAATTAAAGAGATATTAACGTCACCTTGTATTAATTTGGATATAAAATTTACAACCGGTTTCCCAAAGTTGAAAAATAAAATTTCTGAATCCATAAGCCTACTAATTATTGTTTACACTTTCGAATAAGATAACATCAACTTATCATGCAATTTTCAAATGCTTTTCTCTTGAAAATGGTGCGTCCTAGCGAGATACAACAAAAGTAGCTTTATTATAAAGAAAATATTGGTTTTCCAAAATTTGTAGTCAAAAATGTTAAAAACAGTCAACAAAAAAACTTAGGACAATTTAACCCTAAGCCGCTTCCTTCATTTACCAACCTATGAAGATGATTCAAAACTGGCATTTAGTCCATTAAATAGAGCCTAAAAAGTTTAGCATTTGTACAAATTTCACTTAGCTATCTTTAAAAGTTTAGAAAATATTTACAAAAATGTGTCATCAGGACTTCACTTTTAACACCCTGTATCTCGGAAACAAAACATTTTCCGACCTATGTTTATATAAAGTCTTCCTATTTAGGATGTAGATTACACTGACAAAACATGACCGTCTAATTTCGGGACACAGTGCGGATGTAAATAGTCCCCCTCCTATTATGTTTTAAACGGATCAATCTTTTTCAACCAAATTTGGCACACTTCTATGGTAGGTACCATAAGTACTACTTTTTACAATCCTTGTTTTCATTATGACGTCATCTACACAAACGTGACGTCATTTGGGAAAAAAATTAAATGAGAAGTGGGTTTTGTGATACCTCTTTTGAAAGGTATTTTAATTCTGTATCCAGCACTATACACATTTAAATCTTGACATTGTTCCTGTACTTTCACCTCAGCAGTTTATGAAATACTTGGTTGTGGTTTAAGTCAGCATTTAATAGGTAAATTTTAAACTTGCTTAGGTGAGGTGAAAGTACAGAAACAAGGTCATGATATAATGCCCATATCTTCCCTAACGTTAAGTGGAAATAAAAAATGTATAGATACAGAATTAAAAAAACTTTCAAACGAGGTATCTTTAGTTAATGGGAGTATTGGGTACACTTTTTAAACTGCAGGCGTGGCATGTCATCTGTCAGGTCTTCTGTCAGCTATCATCTGTCAATAGTGTTGCCAACCTGCCACCTATCAGGTTTGCGACTCGACTTGCGACACGGCTAAGCGATCCAAGATGGCAACCAACGTATACGATGACCGTTACTAAATCCTGCGCAGTGGCCTGGCGACATGAAGAACTGGAGGATAGCCTGAGAGAAGAGAACGAAAGGAAGCTTGTAATTGTAACAACCAGCCAAGATGTGTTGAAGAAGGAAAGGGAGAAGTGTAGGAGGATGTCAAACTTAACAAATTTGCCTAGTATCAAAGAGACGAAGAAGATGGCCGTTTAAGAGAGCTAATATTTCAAAAGGATCTAAGTGTCATATATGAAAAGTTATCCAACCTAACTCCTGGTGACATGAAGAACTGGAGGAGGAGGAGGCCTAGTGAGGGGAGTAGGCTGAAATAGAATAACGTTAAAGCGCAATGGCCGTAAGGGCATAAATTATAGCTATTGGAAAAAACGGGAGAGTCAGAGCAAAGCCTCGCTACTATTCAAACGGAAGTCAAATTGCATGTCATTGAAATAAATCTAGCATTACCAAAAGGACCTTAGGTGGACAAACGGAAAGACAGAGAGGGACAGACCAAAGGACAGACAAACGTTCATCGTATGCGGTGGCCGCCATCTTGGATCGCTTAGCCGTGTCGCAAACCTGGTAGGTGGCAGGTTGGCAACACTGTTGACAGATGACATAACAGCTGACATGACACGTGACATATGCTGCGCCTGAGCAGTTTAAAAAGTGTACCCAATAGGTTGAAAATGAGTGGGATGATCTCATCGCCCTCCACTGCGACCCAGATGGGTCTATTGTGGCTCATAACTAACTTATAGTTCACCGTACAAGCCATACCTTTTGATGAAGGTCTTGGTTAAATTGGGTGAGACTTCTCTAAAGTCGGTAGGCTCCAGTCGGGTAAATCCGAAGATCTGGAACCCGGTTCTTTCCAGAGCGGAGCACGTACATAGAATGTGCTCTGCAGACTCGTCCTCCACGCTGCAGAATCGACAGTCCGATGTTTGTTGCAGACCTATCCTTCTCATGTGGTTGCCCAGACGGCAGTGTCCTGTCATCAGTCCAGTGAAAATGCGTAGATCTCTCCTACTCCATTCTCGGATCTGAGCAGAGGCGTTCATGGAAGGGTTGTTTATAAACGCCTTCGAATGGGTTAGCCCTGGGGTATCTCTCCAGTTCGTGAGTGTTGCAGCCTCCGTCCATTTTGAGATAATTCCTTTGGCAGTGCTTTTTGCAATGCCCAGGAATGGTTCTGGTCCTATGAACACAGATTCGGTTCCTCTTTTAGCAAGTGCGTCGACTTTTTCGTTGCCCTTCACACCACTGTGTCCCGGAACCCAGATCAAAGTAACTTTGTTACTCCCATTAACTACCGGTGTCCCATAACCCACTTCCATATTTAACTCTGTCCCTAAATGACGTCACGCTTGTGCAGATGATGTTGAAACGAAAACAAGTATTGTAAAAAGTAGTACTTATAGTCCCATAGAAGTGCCAAATTTGGTTGAAAAATATCGATCCGTTCAAAAGGTAATAGAGGGGAGACTATTTACATCGGCACTGTATATTAATATATAAAGTGAAAAATGATTGTAGAAGGTAAATGCCCAAAAAATGCATAACAAATGCACCCTTTGGAAGCAATCCAGAAAAAAAACATTTTGTAAGCTTGATGAAAATTTTCAGATACAGTTGAAAGAAACTCATAACTATTTTTATTAAGTACAGGTCAGCTACACGTAATTCAACGTTCAATATGTTACTTTGTAGTTTCGACTTCAATGGGAATATCAGTTAAAAAAGTGAGTCTTATTGGCTCTAAAAATAAGATAAATGTTTTTCGCAACATATTGGACTTTCAAACCAATATAGGCGACAATTCTCGCTTATTTATGTTTTTGTCGTAATAAAATGAATTGTCATCGAATCAGCAAATATCTATGTATGTATACTAATATAAATAGTTTGTATTTTTTTCAGATTCATCGGGACGATTTATTTTGGACTAATGAAATGAAACCAAAGCTAGAAAAATTTTACTACATCTGTCTCCTACCCGAAATAATTGATGCTAGATACCCGAGGAAGATGGAAATTCGCAATCCCAACACCAGAATAATTACTTTCATGTGTGTAAATATCTGAATATTCGCCGTCTAAATTCTTATAGTTACTGGAGATTTTGTAAATAAACTTTAACTTAGAATGTCTAGTTTACTGTTAAACCAGATATTTAATATCTGACTTTAAAAAAACATTGCAAAATTTACTATTTATATAAAAATCCCGCAAGGCCTGTTTTAATTTTGATAAAATAAATAAAAATAAAATATAATGAAATAAAATAAAAACCCTTTCCTCCGACCATGAGTGCTATCTGTGTATCGTAGTAAATCCGCCTGAACACGAAAAAGTGTTAAACGACATACCCGTTTGTTCGCATTGAAAATATCGACTGCGAATTGGAATTTGCCGTACGAAAAGTTTGCCTGACCTAATCTCTTTCGCATTCATAAGCTTCGCCGTCAGTTTCAATAAAAATTTTTGAGGTTACTGCATTTCTGTAACGCCGTCTTAAGTGTTTGTTTTTAAAATAAATTAATGTGTTATCTTTTAAATGATTTTTATATTTTTATTGTAATGAGGATTTCCCGTATGTTCAATAAAAAATTAAAAAATATGCGATACGATAAAATTTTTGGACAAATTAAGCTAATTCCAAAAACATTATTACATCAATGCAACTCGACTATTGACCGATTATCTTACCTTTCAGTATCAGACGTCATGACGTCAGTGGACCAAGCACTCTCGCTCTGCGTTTCAGACAAATCAAGAATATTCGGAACCTCTTGTATAGCTTCCGCCAACTGCAACGGCTGCCGGGATTCCCCGGCGTCCAAGGTCTCGTTGTCTGAAGCCAAAACGTCCGTACTCCAAGTTTCGGAAATTATAGAAATCGTCTCATCGCCTTAAAAAAAGCAATACGACTCTCCAGTCAATACCATACTCTAATACCACACAATATATGAACAACGAAGAAAAGAAACAAGTCAAAACTCTAGTCACCGTAGCTACCTGCCCCTTATTGATAGCGAAGCATTGTCAAAGAACAATAAAACCAAATGTAGTTTTCGTAGTGTAGTTTTAATGAATAATTGTTTATGTTCGCATGCACTTGTTTTCTATAGTGGCACTGAAAGTCACATATTTCTATCACTTCTACTTCAAATTACTGACTACTTTCCTTTATGTGTTGTTCATATATTCTGGGCTAATACCGCCACATATCTGTACGTACCTTCCATTAGTTTCTTGATTTCGAACTTGCAAAACTTATCATCGATTTCGGAACGTATTTGACGATTAAGATTAAGGTTAGGTTGCGGCTGAGCGACCTCTGCCTGACGGGGTTCCCCTAAAGGACGGTCGTCATTTTCGCATACCTGAGAACTGGGCGTATCACGGCCCGATATGTTCGGTGTTCCCCGACCTACGAAAAATAAAATACGCTTTTGTATTTTTCCAAATTCCTACATGTATACATTGTATAAATTACACAAATTTTTTTAATAAGGTTCGCGAGAATAGACGTTTTATATTTTTCCTATATTTAGCTTATTATTGCGATTTGAGATAAACTTATTTTAATTTTAAGGATGTGGTACCTGCATAGCTCGGGAGCGAGAAAACACATTACAAAATTCCTTGAAAAACGTTTTATGTATAAAAATAAGGCGTTCTTAAATGTTATGAGCTTTGTATCCTATATCATTACTATTTAATTTTGAACATATGTATACAAATCCGTTTTACCGATTTTGACAGGTACCTGCAGTAATATGCTACATACTGTAAAGGTTTATTTCCAACAACGATCTTGGAACATTGCATAAACTTATTGTTGACAATCTGTCGTCAACTAATAATGCGCTGGTTCAGTGTGATGTCATTTTGGTTCCACTGACATTTATTTCTAACCAAACGTTTAACAAAAACATCAATACATTTGACATATACGTTTTTACTGCCTTAAGATTTTTTCTAAATATTGTTTGCAGGTCATAAAAAATAGTTTAAAGGTATGTAATTGGTAACTAAACGATTGTATATTTTATGCATGTTATCTACTTACTTTAGGAATATATTTATAAAAGTGAAAAAACGATATAATTTAGGTAAACAAAACGAACAAAACGCACTCAAAAAAATCTACTGTCACTTTAATTGTCAGTGGAACCATAATTACATCATCACTGAACTAGCGCATTGACAATCTGTCAGGTATTGGAACTCAACTGGGAACTAGAGGTATTTTCTGGCGTTAAATCTATTTAAAATATGTATTTGTCAACGATTACGTCTTGACGTCATGAATGTTAGACATCGCCAGAATGCAATGATCAAATGTCAAATCTGGTCAAATGTCAATTATTTTGAAAATAGAATACAGCAGAGATAAGACAGGTTATGTTATGTTTTATGTTATTTTATTATACTTACACTTACCAACTATCCCTTGCTTGTAAATGTGAATGGTTTTTTGTTTTTATATTTTTGAACTGATAAATTTAATATTTTCAAAATAATAATCATGGAGGCAGTTGTTTTACAGTTAATAAACAATCAAGAAGAAGATTTTTACCATAATATTATTTATTTAAACGAAATGTTTTTAAATAATGACTTAGATTTAAATGTAATATTAACTTATCGCGAAGAACACATTAGAATTCAAAATTTTGCAGAAAATTGGATTGAAGAGTATGTTGAATACGACTTTTTTCAATTATTTCGAATGAACCGGGAAACCTTTAATAAACTACTGAATTTAATCGCAGAAGAACTGCAAAAACAGTTTGTAGGAGGACATTGGCCAATTCCTGCAAATAAAATGCTCCTGATAACACTTTGGTGGCTAGGAAAAGGAGAAGTACTTCTATCGGTTGCAGATAGGTTTAATGTGTGCCTCAGCACAACCCATCGATGTACCGAAATAGTTGTGAATGTACTTTTAAATCTACTTAATATATACATTGTGTGGCCAGATGAGGAAGAATTAGTTGAAATTGAGGCTAGCTTTAGAAATAAGGCCGGATTTCCAGGGACGATTGGAGCTATTGATGGATGTAACATAAAATTCAAAGCTCCTGCAGACAGGCAAGCTGATTATATAGATCGAAAGCAGCAACACTCAATTAAATTACAGGGAATAGTAATTGCTGACAAAATTTTTACTAATATAATGGTAGGTTTCCCAGGATCAGCTCATGATAGCCGAGTGTTGAGAAACTCTGGAATATTTCTAGATGTTGAAGAAAATGATAATTTTAGGAAATATTTTCCTCATCAAAACTATCATATTATAGGAGATTCAGCGTATCCTTTAAGGAATTGGCTAATGAAGCCATACAAAAGAGTTCTGCAAATGGATGTAAGGAAACAGAGATTCAATACAAAGCTTAGCCAAACCAGAATTGTAGTTGAGCATGTCTTTGGCCTTCTTAAATCAAGATTCAGAATTTTAAATTACATAAATGTAAACAGTGTAATAAAAGCTGCAAAAATTATTACAGTATGCTGCATCCTTCACAATTTTTGTTTCATCAATCATGATCCATGGAATGAATATGCACCTATGGAAGAAGATGAGGATGATAATGGTTTTATTGAAGATAATGAAAATGAAGCAATCCAGAAACGGAATGACATTACCCACATGTTAAGGGATTGAAATTATATTTTCAATTACCTTTTATAATTATTGAATATTTTTTTTAGTTTGTGAATTCTTTTTGTATAGTTTGTTTCTACACTAGTTTAATTTTTGTTTTGTATTGAAATAAATTTTTTAATAAATATGCTTTTATTTAGAATAAAAATACTAAAAATACAATATTTGAGACTTAGGTAAGTATTAATACTGTTTAACACAAAATAAAACTTTAACTCTGGTTAAAAAAATAATAAATTAAAACTAAAAAACATTTTCTAAACTCTAGTAAAATACGAAAAAAAAAAAAAGTAAAAAACAAAATTAAACTACTAAAATAAGTCTTTTTAAAAATAAAATAGTAACATGCTATTTATTTTCATTGTCTTTTCTTTGTTTCAATAGCTCGATCATTCCCATTGTTTGTTGGTGCCTTTGCTCATTCTGTTGTTTAACAGCTTCCAAAAGTTCTGCAAATTGTTGCTGTCTTAATGTCCTTTCTTCGGTTATTATATTTTCAACTGTGGTTAGAACTGTTCTTCTCGGTCTTATACTTTTTTTTACTTTAAAGCGATTATTTTGAAGCTTTTCTATTTGCCGAGTCTCTTTAGGTGATCTTGGAACAGAACAAGGGGATTTTATTGAAGAGGGTTGTCCTAAAGAAGAGGATTTTTCTAAAGTATAAGATTGTTCTGAAGAACATGGCAATATAGGGCTTTCTGATGGGGGAAAACTTGAATCAAAGATAATTGCTGGACTTGCCTTATCACTATTCCCTAGAATTACTTCTAAGTCATCGTAAAAAGGTGGCTTTTTTACAAATCCCTCGCCTGTTTGGCGAATTTGGTCCCTATATTTGAAGAAGGTAGCCTGTAAATTCATGAATTTCTGACGACACTTTTCTCTACCAGCAACACCCTCGCCTACATGGTATCCCATACTATTTAATTTTGTAGCTATTTGTAGCCATAATTGGTTTTTATTAGTTTTTTTATTCATAAATTCTTCATTTAAATTACTACGAAGTTCTAAAAAAACTGTTGTTGCCATAATATCCAGCTCTGTAGGTTTTTTTAAACTCCAAATTAAAGTAGTTTTTGGATTATCATGGCCAAACTGTCGCTCCAATTCTGCCAAGTATTGCCTTGCAAAATCTGGATCTAAAAAATATGTTAGTTTTTTTAACTCCTTCATTTCATGTAAAGTACACCTAGTTAAATAATAGATAATGTACTTACCTTGTAAATTGTTATATGTAACTGTATCCACGGTAAGCAGATATTTTCCCAAATTTATCTGAGTCATTCCTTCCTCCATTTTTATTGATTTTACCTCTGCCTCTGTTAACTATACCTGATACTCTTCTCTGCTCACTCTGCTGTATCCACAGGCTGTATCCTGTATCCCCTAACAAAAAAAAAAACAAAAAACAGAAACACGGGACACACCCATTGGTAAACGACACCACAGAACACTTACTTGACACTGTCGTAAGTCATAATAATCAAATATTTGTATTTGAAACCAGCTTGCTCTTGGTTTTAAATCTGACAGAGAAAGTTTTAAATCATTTGACCAATGACGTCATAGTTTGATCGGTAAAATGAATGTATTTAAATCATAAGAGTAATACGTTTTAAATACACGAACGCTAGAAAATACCTTAGGTTGGGTTGGAACACATTTTAAATAAATTCAACAGACCCAATATTACAATATTAGTCCACAAAATAAAATAAATGATAATGAATGAATAAACTTGATTGACAAATACAAATCAGAGCTGTCAGAGATGATACATTCAAATAATATAATTAAGGAGGTTCTTTCGCCACCCCTTTCGCCACCAATGTTAAATTAAAAAAATTAGATTATGACTAAAATTTATTTTTTTTTCTAATAGTTGAAGTCCTTATTTATCTAATGTTGAACTTTTAACTATACCTTGCCGTGCAAATTTTTGAGAATTTTTTTTTTAAAAATGTGAGTATTTGTGCAGTGTCTTATGAGAAAATAAGACCTCATCAACAATTCTCGAATTATATTATTATTTATTGATTAGACGGAGTAGAAAAAAACAAAAAATAGGGTTTTTGAAATATTTAGGTTTTGTTTTTTACAATAAAATATATAGGTTACCTTGGAATTTATTGAGAAATTAATATTAAAAAAAAAAATTGAAGTAACCTAGTTGAAAATTGTTGTTGAAGTCTTACTTTCTCGTAAGACACTGTACAAAAACACACATTTTTAAAAAAAAAAATTCTCAAAAATTTGCACGGTAAGGTATAGTTAAAAGTTCACTATTAGATAAATAAGGACTTCTACTATTAGAAAAAAATTAATTTTAGTCATAATCTAATATTTTTTATTTAACATTGGTGGCGAAAGGACCTCCTTAAAATCACGAAATTTTCAGGTTATTGTGGCTTTGCGCATGTCTTGACAATTCGTTTCTATTCAGACCCAGGAACTAATTTGACAGTACAAAAATCAGTTTGTGATTAGTTCTGGTTGTGTTGAAATACTATGTTTTTCCACAGTTTTGAATCTAAAGTTTGTTGAGCAACACGAATTATAGACTGCGCAGAATCCTGACAGAACATAAACTGATTTGGTTTATGTTGGAACAAACTTTACGAGTGTTATCTTTCTCGCATTCTAATTTTATACATGAACGAGTCTCAACAGGGAACATGGCCTATATCTAATCTAACCATACAATGAACAAGACGTATGTGTTTTCTTTTTATTGAGGTATCGGTCGCGTTAATTAATGT